AAACAGGGAGGCAAAAAGGAATAGAATAGTATAGAACCTTTTTTATAAGCTTCAAAGGGGTAGCTGAGTTGGTCTGTAACAGGAAACACTAAAAAAAAAAAAGCAACAAAACAGTCTAATACTGTAGTACTTTAAAGACTAACAAAGCATGTAGATCAGAGAGGCAAAAGGACCCATGGGTTGGATCCGGTCTGTGGAAATTGTGTTAGAATGGGGATATGGGAGTGCCTGGCTCTGGGGCAGTGGAGGGGGATATTTTGTTAATGTTTTGGTTTTTATTTATTTATTTCCAAATAAAATCACAAAATGTATATTAATTTTATATCATATGTCAATTTTTTGCAATTGTACGAATAATTATATGTTTATGCAAAATCTCAAACTTACAAAGTATCTGAAATTTTCACAGAAATGTGACTGACCATGGTCTATACTTTTTTTATTTTAACAAAACAAGTTATGTATCATATACAAAATTTAAAAGTACCTTAAATTTATATTTAAATTAAAAAATATTTTGAGTAAATATTGGCAGGACCCAGTACCGTTAGACCATCCCTAGTAGATGTCTATTTAACCTGCTCTTAAATATCTCCAGAGATGGAGATTCCACAACCTCCCAAGGCACCTTATTCCATGGTTTAACTGTGGTCGATAGGATTAACCAGTAAGTGTAGGCTTATTGGTTAATCGTTTTCTGAACTATACTCTAACATCCCTAATTTAAACTGTATAATTTCAGGTAAACTAGATCTCCATCTTTTGGGTTTGAGCATTTTATGTTTCAAAATGCATTAAAGCTGATAAATTTGAAAAACTCAATATTAATTTATGTGGAATGAATAACTAGAAGCAGTATAATACAGACAGAAAAACTCATGGAGTTTGAAACATTTGGCAAATCTATTTAACTCTTCTGATTAGTACCACTTTCCTTGAAAAATAGGAAGATGACATAAGTATTTTCTTTTCTTTTTAATCTGCCTGAAGGAGCTGTTTAGGTCATTGTCAGTGTTTTTTCTGTCTTACCTATTTTTCAGCTAAAATTTAAATTGAAGACTTTTTATGATAAGCAGAGCAAGTTTGTTAGTGTTTTACTTCTAAAATGTCTTACATTTTCAAAACTATAGTTGATAACAATTAAAGGTGGGTATTAAGCAATTGGACTATATTTTAAATACATTGGCACCTCAAATACAAACATCTCGGGGATGGATGTTGTTTGTAAGTCTGAAATGTTCATAACTCTGAAGAAAACATTATTGTGGTTTTTCAAAAGTTTACAGCTGAACATTGTCTTAATTCAGCTTTCAGATTTTACCACGCAGAAGAAAAATGCTGCTTTTAATCATCTTCGTTTAAACAAGCACAGAAAGTTTCCTTACCTTATCAAATCTTTTTAAAACTTTCCATTTATTTGTAATAGTTTATATTTAACACAGTACTGTACTGTATTTACTTGTTTTTTGTTTCTGCTGCTTACTGGTTAGGTACTTCCCCCTCCAAATGAGCTGTCAATTTGTAACTCTTTGAAGTTCTATTGTATACCTAATACAAAAATCTGCATTTAAATAGTTTACTGTTATCATGCCACTATCCGATGCAAAGAAAATATTTTTGTCAAAGGCTTGGTCTTCAAACTCATTGTGTGCTCAAAACAGGTGCATGAAACTAGTGTAGCAATGGTTCTTGACCTGGAAGCCTTATCTTGGAAAAAACTTGTTTTTATCATCAGATGAAGCTTGTTAAATGCATTTCTTACCTCTCCTTTGCCTGCTGTGCCCTCCCCCACTCATATTTGCTTAATAGATTGTCGTATAGACTGTGGAAAGCAATTACTGTGAATTTTTTTTGTCACTTTCGGATTTACATCTGTGTCATTAGTCTTATGACATACTAAAGACTTTGTCCATTATATAAACTATATGCCTTCTAACACTTCACATCTACTTTGGTCAGGCCAGTCTTTTAGCTGAGGTGCTATGCTGGGAGAACAAGGATTGTTTCAGGCCGTTGCAACTTTGAAAAGGGGGCCAATCCCACAGCTGGACACTTTCTCTAATTTGTATTCCCAATATGAACTAACCTAGTGTTAGAATATGAAGTTTAAGGATAGAACAAGCAGTGTATCATTATTGAGAGTAACAGCAGAGGCAAGACAGGTAAAGGAAAACTGGTTGGATAGCAAAGAAGGATAACTTGTATTATGCAGAAACAAAAAACAGGACTATGTAGCACTTTAAAGACTAACAAGATGGTTTATTAGGTGATGAGCTTTCGTGGGCCAGACCCACTTCCTCAGATCAAATTGTGGAAGAAAATTGGCATGACTTCTACATGAGAAGTGTGGGGACTCCAGTTATGACTAGAGATTCTGAAGACAGGTTGTTTATCATGGGAGTGGGAAAGGCAATTATTCAGGCTTATGCATGACATAGAGGAGTGGGCCAGCAAGTCTGCTCTGCTCCAGTATCTTGATAGGCAGCAAATATACGTATTTTTGGTTTTGTGAATGAAACTGCATCCTGTTCAACAGCTTCTTTTGAACTCACATGCTTTTCTGCCTCAAATAATTGAATCTGTTTTAAGATTTAAGCTGAGCTCTCTGAAAAATCAGCCTCTTCCCCAAAGAAAATATCTTGTGTGTAATAGGTAGATTTTTTTTTTTTGTTTTAACTTTAGCTGGCATAAAAACTGAAATAGCAAAAGAGTTAAATCTCAGATATTAATTTTTCCATCTGCATTTTGAAGTATAAGACATTATTTTAATGTTGTGGATAGTAATTAATTTACATTTTTATTTCTGATGGAAGACTGAATTCACAACTTGTTAATATGGTTTTCAAACTATTCCATTTATTACAAACTCTTAACTGTATATCTTGCTCCGTTCCATTTCTAGTGCCATGCTTCATTAAATAAAATGTTTTTTAAAAATAATAGGTTGAGTAATTCCTTTCAAACCCCTTGGAGAAGTAAAAGAGAAGTGTCTCAGCAAGGCTGCATGGGTCAGATAGCAGTGATGGTTTAAGAGATGGATCTGATAACTGCTTGCATAGATGAATATAGGTCACTGCTTCTGTTCAGTATTTTTAATTTTGATGAGGTCTTTGTTTTCATTTGGCCATTTAGTAGATTTCTTCAGTAAATCTATCTAGTCCTTGAGTAATACTTTGGTAGCTTTGGGGTCAGTACATTTACATTTTCTTGCTGTGATTTGTGTGTCTCTTGAAAAATGTGACCTCAGCTATTCAGTGGAGTTGTATATCTTTTTGATTAGATGTAGCAACAAGTCTCTGTGCATGTGATTTTTACCCTCAGAACATGCTTTTAATGTCCAAAAAAATCCTAACAAACAAAACCTTTTGTGAGTCTCTTGAGTTAGCAGGTTCCTACCTGGTGAGGAATGGTCACCATCAATTATCAGCCGGTACAACATTTATCCCGGGTTGCTTGGGACTTATAGGGTAGGGGGGCTGGCAGTGTGTAGGTTGCAGGAGTCAGGGCGGGAGCTTAGGGATTTAGGACGCTCCGCGTAGGGGACTGGGGTATATATGTGAGTTCAGGAGTCAGTGTTGTGGGTGAGGATGAGCTCCCTGGTGAGGAATGGTCACCATCAATTATCAGCCGGTACAACATTTATCCCGGGTTGCTTGGGACTTATAGGGTAGGGGGGCTGGCAGTGTGTAGGTTGCAGGAGTCAGGGCGGGAGCTTAGGGATTTAGGACGCTCCGCGTAGGGGACTGGGGTATATATGTGAGTTCAGGAGTCAGTGTTGTGGGTGAGGATGAGCTCGGCAAGAGGTTGAGAGGGGGTGGAGCTTGGGAGTGGGGGTGATAGCTGGCTTCTTCCCGGAGCAGGGGCGAGGGTGCATTCCATTCACTGGTGGATCCCCAGGGCTGACCCTGGGTAGGTGGGTGCTGCGTGTTAGCTGGCAGCTGCTCCCTGGGTGGTGAAGGTCCATCCAGGTCCAGGGGGACCGGAAGCAGCGGGATGCCTACAGCCTGCCAACGGATCTCCAAGAGTTGAGAGGGCCATGTTGCAGCCAGCAGCTGGGAAACCATCCCCCAAAAGGGATCAAATCCCCAAATAAATCCGTCTTTGTGTAAAGGTTTTACACAAGGAAAGCTCATGAGATATTTGCCCTCTTTATCAATGAAAGAGAAAGATGCATATTGGTCTGTGTCTCTAGCCCTTTGTATCTTTTCACAGTTTCCAGGCCAGATGAAGACAAAAGGGCTCTTAAATAGATGGTTCCTCTTTGTTCTAGATCACCCCCTTACATGGAAAAATACCATGGTCAAAATGGAATCCCAGTACCAACTGGTATGATCTCATGTCTTACTAGTCCAATCACCTTTGGACCTGCAGGACAAACAAGGCTATTTAAAAGTCATTAAGTTGATCGCCAACTTGTTAAGGTTTGAGGGGTGTATACTAGTAATGGCTCTCCTTAGAACACTTAAAATAAGCATTCCCATACTTTCTATTTCTAACTTTACACAGAAGAATGATACGTGCACCAAAATAAGATATATAGATCCAGCAGATTGTAACATTAAAATTGATCGGTTACGCGAGGCATTTAGTTGAAAGCATCTCCAACTTATTAATATAAATATGCATAAATCAATTTTCACAAAGCATGGGGTGGAACCTTCACAGTTGCAAACTTGATGGTGCTAGCTCTTGCCGTTTAGGAGGAGTTCTTGAACAAAAGTACTCCCAGACGGATGGACAGATAGACACATTTGCAAAATATATTGTATGAAAGATAAGATTAAAAGCAGGCTCTGCTCATTGTCATACTTGAAAAATAACTGCTTCTTTAAAAGCTAAGCATGATTACAGTTTTCCTTCTATTATAAATAACTTTTGAATCAGAAAGCACTTGAAAAATTATTAAAAGCATTATTTGTAATTAGAATGTTTATATTCAGGTATATTGCAAGTGTGTTAAAAATAATCTTCAGCATATCACTTTCTTTTGTTTCTTGCAGGGACTCCAACCGTCATGTTAAGGTAAAACAGAAAAGTGCAGTGCTGAACATGCTAAAGAGGTTAGACAAAATAAGGTTCAGAGGTCACAAAAGAGATGAGTTCCTTGATTTAGCAGAGTCTCCAAATGCTTCAGACACTGAATGTGGAGATGAAATCCCGGTGAAAATACCTCGAACGTCACTCAGAGAGAATGATGAACTAAGAGACCCTGTAAGTATTCAGTCTGGCTACATGTATAAAGCTGTTATCAGATTTAAAAAATAATGCAGCATAGTCGTTAACGCTATTCTCCTGGTTCTATTTATTTGGAATAATATTTCAGGATTAAGAAAGCAAATAAAAGGGCACACAGTTGTGAACATGCTCAGATTTTTGTAACTGCACTTCAGTTCTTCCTTTTTGTTTGTGGATTTTAAGCCTATTTATTCTAATGCTCCACTGCTGTCCATATTATAAAATTATAAAGTTCTATAAAGTAAGAACTTTTTTCATGCTGTTCCCTCTTGCTTCTTTTGGCTTTTGTGGGTTGACAAGCCTATGGATGCAGTTAGCATTGGAAAGGAGGCCAGTGATAGTTAGCAACACTAGTTGGGTAGCAGAGTATTAACCAGGACTCCCTCAGTTAACTAACATACTGTGGAGAATGTGAAAACTTTTTGTAATTCCGTGAATATTATATATCCGTGAATATTATATTTCCCTTAATTTACCTGCTTAATGATATTCTGACTGCTAAATCACAGGAGGGTGTTACAGGGAATCAAATGGAACATTTACAAACAAAGATACCTCTGGATCAGGGGTCTTCAAACATCACTGCATCCTGACCCCCAACAAAAATTGCTACATGATCCTAAAAGGTGGACTGAAGCTCGAGTGTGTCCAAGCCCTACTGCTGTGGGGTAGAAGCCTGAACACTACCAATCTGAGGGGGATGGAAAAAACTTGAAGTCCTTGGGCTTTGGATTCAGCCCAGGGCGGTGGGGCTTGGACTTCAGTCCTGGGTCCAGCAAGTCTAAACCAGCCTTGATACCTCCATTAAAATGGGATTACGACTCGATATAGAGTACCAACCTATGTTCCCTCTTATTTTTTTCTTCCATATGTGGGTATTTTTATAGAAGAACATAGAACAGATATACTGGGTCAGATGAGAAAGGTCCAGCTAGCCCAGTATCCTGTCTTCCGACACTGGTCAGTGCCATATGCCTCAGAGAGGAGTGAACAGAACAGGGAAAGATCAAATGATCCCTCTCCTGTCATCCATTTCCAGCCTCTTACAAACAGAGGCTGTGGACAGCATTCCTATCCATACTGGCTAATAGCCATTGATAGACCTAACCTCTAAATTTATCTCGTTCCTTTTTGAACACTATTAAAGTCCTGGTCTTCATAACATGCTCTGGTAAGGAGTTCCAGAGGTTGGCTCTGTGTGTGTGTGTCGGGGGGGGGGGGGGGGGGCCCTCAGGGGTGGTTTATTTCATTTGGTGATCCCCTAGTTTTTACATTTTGGGAACAAGTAAATAACTTTTCCTTACTCACTTTTTCCATACCAGTCATGATTTTATAGACCTTTATCATATTCCCCCCCACCCCCACATCTCCTCTTTTCTAAAATGAAAAGTCCCAGTCTTTTTAATCTGTCTTCATATGGGACCTGTTCCAACCCCCTAATCATTTTTTGTTGCCCTTCTCTGAACCTTTTCTACTGCCAGTATGCCTTTTTTGAGATGTGACCACATCTGTACACAGTCTTCATTATGTGGCCACACCATAGTTTTATATAGAGGCTATAAGATATTCTGCCTTATTTTCAATCCCTTTTTTAATGAGTCCTAACAATGTTTGCTACCGCTGCACATTGAGTGGATGTTTTCAGAGAACTATCTACAATGACTCCAAGATAGAAAAATAGATATATCATTCATTCATTCATTCATAGCTAAATAAGTCCCCATCATATACTATGTATAGTTGGGATTATTTTTTTCCAGTGTGCATTACTTTGTTTATCAACATTACATTTCAATTGCCATTTTGTTACCCAGTCATTTAGTTTGGTGGGATCTCTTTGAAGCTTTTCATAGCCTGTTTTGGTCTTAACTATCTTGAGCTGTTTGGTATCTGTAAATTTTGCCACCTCACTGTTTACCCCTTTCTCCAGATCATTTGTAAATAGGTTGAATAGGATTGGTTCCAGAATGGATCTTTGGGGGACACCACCAGTTACCTCTTTCCATTCTGAAAACCTACCATTTATACCCTTAGTTTCCTGTCTTTTAACCAGTTATCAGTCCATGAGAGGACCTTCTCTCTTATCCCATGACAATTTACTTTACTTAAGAGCCTTTGGTGAGGGACCTTGTCAAAGGCTTTCTGAAAATCAAAGGCTTTCTGAAAATCTAAGAACACTATATACACTGAATCCCCCTTGTCCACATGTTTGTTGGCCCCCTTAAAGAATTCTAGTAGATTAATAAGGCACATTTCCCTTTACGAAAACCATGTTGACTTTCCCCAACAAATTATTCATATATGTGTCTGACAATTTTATTCTTTACTATAGTTTCAACTAATTTGCCTAGTACTGATATTAGATTTACCGGTCTGTAATTTACAGGATCATCTCTAGAGCCCTTTTTAAATATCGGCGTCACATTAGCTATCTTCCAGTCACTAGGTACAGAAGCTGATTTGAAGGATAGCTTACAAATCACAGTTAATAATATCACAGTTTCCCATTTGAGTTCTTTCAGAACACTTGGGAGAATGCCATCTGGTCCTGGTAACTTGTTACTGTTAAGTTTATCAGGTTGTTCCAAAAGCACCTGTAGTGACACCTCAATCTGGGATAGTTCCTCAGATTTGTCCCCAGAAACAATGGTTTTGGTTTGGGAATCTCCCTAACATCCTCATCTGTGAAGACTGAAGCAAAGTATTCATTTAGTTTCTCCACAATGACCTTATCGTCCCGTGTTCCCACTGGTTGTTTAGCAGGTTCCTGCTTCTGATGTACTTAAACATTTTACTATTACATTTTGAGGTTTTGGCTAGCTGTTCTTCAAACTTTTTTGGCTTTTCTTACTATATTTTTACACTTCATTTGACAGAGTTTATGCTCCTTTCTTTTTTCCCTCATTAGGATTTAACTTCTGCTTTTTAAACATTGCCTTCATCTCTCTCTGCTTCTTTTACTTGATTTTTAAGCCATGGTGGCACTTTTTTTGAGATATCTTACTGTGTTTTTTAAATTTGTGGTAGACATTTAAGTTGGGCCTCTATTATAGTGTCTTTGAAACGTTTCCATGCTACTTGCAGAGATTTTACTTTTGTCACTGTGCCTTTTAGTTTCTGTTTAACTTCCTCGTTGTGTAGTTCTCCTTTCTCAAATTAAATGCCACAGTGTTTGGCTGCTGAGGTGTTTTTCCCAACGCAGGGGTATTACATTTTATTACATCATGGTCACTATTTCAAAGTGGTCCACTTATATTTACCTATTTCTCTTCTGTTATATTATTGTTATTAGCGCAAGGAATTACTATCCATAGAGATTCTAAGGAACATTTTGGTTTATTTAAAATGAAGTATACATTTGAATCCACATGATCTTTCACTCTAATGCCACTTCTCTACCAGCATGACCAATTCTGTCCTTCCAATATATTTTGTACCCTGGTATGAATGTATCCCATTGATTGTCCTCATTCCACCAAGCTTCTGTATTCCCTATTATATCAGTATCCTCCTTTAATACAAGGCAGTCTAGTTCACTCATCTTATTAATTAGACTTCTAGTATTTGTGTACAAGCACTTTAAAAATTTGTTGCTATTTATCTGTCTGCCATTTTCTCATGTTATACTCTTTTTCATTTGATTATTTCTCGTCTGATCTTACCTGTGCTTTATCATCTTCCATTCTCTCCTCCTTATTAGAACATAGAAAATCTCTATTAATAGACCCTCCCTTACGAGATGTCTGTCTGATCCATGTGCTCTTCCGCATCCATTAGCTTCCCCCCAGCCCTTAGTTTAAAAACTGCTCTAAGACTTTTTTTATTGTTAAGTGCCAGCACTCTGGTTAAATTTTCCATCCATGCGAGGAATAATTTTTATATCTATCAAGGCGTGTGCGAATTTGCACTGCCAGTAGAAACAAAAAAACCTTGCTGTGGGTCTTCTGCTGGGCAGCATTTAAATCTCTTCTGAGTGGTCGGACAGGTTACAGGGAACACCTATTCCAACCCGCAGAACAATAGGGGGAGCAATTAATTGGGTGATGGGTAGCAGGATCTAGGCAGATGTCTAGCAGATTTATTTTTATCAGGCCCTAGCCTTACATCAAATAAATAAATCCTTAACGAACGTTGTCTATTGAGACGGGATGAGTAGGCAGCCGTGTTGGATGTAAGACTGGCGAATGCTTACAGAAAGCTGCAGGGGCTGTTTGTTTCTCCCATCCCAGGGGCCTGTAGGCTGAGAGGAATTCAGCCAAAAGTTGCATGAGGTTTAGGTAAGTTGTGCAAGTTTAAGCTGCTTTGTTGTGTTAATTCATTTCTCCAACTATTGTATGCCTGTTGAGTAACACACACTTTTTAAAAAAAATTTTTATTAAAGGCTGCACTGTGTTGCTGCATTCGCTTTCTGTTTACAAAGCTTGGGGTCATTCTCAAAGGCTCCTACAGGAAGCCAAGCCAAATTGCCTCAGCTATTGGAGCCATAGAGGCCTTGGGGATAACCTATGTGTAGCAGAGTTTCTGGACTTGTCCTTGACTGAAGGAGAGGCCCACACAGAGTCTCTCACTGAGCCATGTGATCAATGATGCATCAGTTTGAAATTGCTCTGTGCCTTTAATCTGAGAAACTCAAAAAGCTTTAGCCAGCAGCACCCAAATCTCAGTGCCCTGTTCCCATTCAGAATAAGAAGTACTGAGCACTTATGAAAAATCTATTAAAAATTGCAGAGGTCATGTGAAAGGGAGGGATCACTTTTTTTTTTTATTCTCTACTGAAATGCAGTAGCCTTTGGCGTGGAACACAAGGTATGTTTAACACTGTGCAGTAACTGAGGAAGGGAAGTGAAAGACTCTTGTCAGGACTCTCCAAAGCTTCATTCAGAATAAGAAGTACTGAGCACTTATGAAAAATCTATTAAAAATTGCAGAGGTCATGTGAAAGGGAGGGATCACTTTTTTTTTTTATTCTCTACTGA